AATGCTGTGATGTGGAAAACACTAATACAATAACAGCATTTGGTCATGCTGCTGTCACTGATGCCTCAAACACATTTGACAGCTTCTAAATTAAGCTTACGAACATTATTTTATTTTTTTATTAGTCCTTTATTTAGCCAGGTAAAAATCTTATTGAGATTAAAAATCTCATTTCCAAGAGAGACCTGGCAGTATTATTGTGAGTTATGACCCACATGCTAAGTAGTGCACTGCATCAAAAGTAAATCCTGTTACATCATGAAAAGAAAAGAAAAAAGTAACAAAAACATGTATATTATCAACAGGGTGTATAAAACCGTTCATTGTGAAAAGTAAATCCACACAAAGTTTATGGTCTGATATGGAGGATGAGCATATATTACACCTGTCATTATGAGAAACCATCAAATCACTCCAGCAGAGAGACCTCATGGAAATATGCTCCCAGCAGCTTGACTCCCTGAATGTAGTTTGATCTGAAAATGGAGAAATAAAGCGATGATAATGGTTTATAATTTAAAAAACTCTCTTTACCTGTGATCACATTTTAGCATAGAAATAATCTGGAGATGACAAACATGATCCTCTCCTTTTACTGCAATATTTCGTCAGTTTTATCTACTTGTTCCACATTTCAAAAGAAGTGAAACGGTGTGAGCTGTGACCAACCTGTTGATCTTTTCATTCTGAGAGTGAGCTCCATCATCAGAGGACCCTACAGGAAGCAGCATGACATTACGGCCTGTGGCCTCCTGGAAGGTCAGGGTGACCGGGATGCTGCCGCCCTCACGAGTCAGATCAGGCTCGACCCCGAAGACTACAGTACAACGAGGAGGAAAAGAAAACAAAAGCAGTAAAAATGTAATAATGACAATAATAATAACATCCTAGCTGTCCCTGAATAGGTACAACAAATCTGGGCACAAACCTATCAGTGAAAATATCTGAAAAAGGCTTAAAAATATGTCCACAAAAATATGCATAAAAAAATGTCCCTGTACCTGTCTTTATGGCCTTTCTCCCTGCCATGTAGTGTGGGTGGTTGAAGTCTGAGACCCAGGCTTTGGCACCGCTGTCCCCTGTCACTTTCAGTTTATTGGGGGTTCCCAGTTCAGCAAACCTCTTCTGCAGATGATCGATGACCTTGAAGAGGGAAAAATAACTTAGACTTGTTGAAGCTTTAATGTAGAAATAAATTGAAGTTGATCTTTAGCTATTTCCAAGTCCAGGCTGAGATTCATTTAGTAAAACCTAACAAAACCTCCTTGTTACGCAATCATTTGTGACAAAATCACTATGTCTTGTCTGCTTGATTGGTTTGCCTGGTTTTCTGCGGATGTATTTTAATGCCGTAACCTGGGACTTTGTTTTTTTCTCTGAATAAAATCATCTGCATTCACTTTATCTTACAAAAATAAGGATGGCTGAGCAAATCATCTGAGCAACAAACTACCAATAAGTGGCAGAGATACAGAGTGACTTCTGCTACTTAATTATAAAACGATGATTTAAGTTAAGTGAGTGTTATATGTGATCACTGTGACCTATAACATTGTTTACCTGCTTCTTCACAACTTTGGGGTCCATGTCAGGCACAAGGCGGATGGAAAACTTGCCGATGACCTTGCGAGGAATAACAGTCTTGGCTCCTGCTTCAGAGAAAGCCCCCTCAATACCATGAAGGGAAAGAGAAGGATATCTCCAACGGTGCATGAGGATTTGCTCCTATGGTGGAAAAATAGGTTCAAAAAGTGTGAATGACCCCACATTATACAGCACATTTCCACCAATGAGTGATGCGAGCAACATAAATAATTTCTTTGCCTTTGTGTCATGCAGCAGCTGGTCAACCCCCACATCTTTACAGTACTCATCCAAGTCAAAGTCAATCTTCTCGTACAGCTTTTGCTCCTCTGCTGTCAGA